TTCAACAGCAAACTGCCATTGCAAAGGCAATCCATTGGCTGCTGGACTGTCCTTCCCAGGAGCAGCTCAGGAACAGAGAGGAGGCTGCCAGACAGGGGGCTTTTGCTAGAATTGGGAATCTGAGCACAAATGAGGGTCAGCTTTCAGGCTGTCCTCCCCGGTCACACTCCATCACAACCCACCTCGTGGCCAGGGCAGGTAAAACAGGTCAAGAAACTGAAACGCAGGTCAGGAACCAGCGCTGCCACCCATGAGACAATTCACCTTGCCCCAGCATAAAGAGGCCAAAGATGAATTGTCCTCCTGAGTCACAGCAGCCTGTGAGTTGTGGGTTGACCGCCCTACCCTGATGAGTCTAAGGCTGTTCCTGTTTACCCAGCAGAGATCATCTAATGGGGAAACAGAAGCCGTGAGATGTGCTGACAAATCAACAGCAAACAGAAACACACATTTGAGAGAGAGAGGATAAGAGTCCAGTGCTTCAAATGTAGTTCAGGTTGAACTGTCATAAACACCACCCTGATAAAAGCACAGGTTATTTGTGGCAGCTCAGAAACATCAGACTCACGTATGTTTCTGCCAGTCTGCTCATCTGAGGAATGCTGGAAGTGAGCCATCCACAGAACCACGAGGCTTAGACTGGAAGGGACTTTGGGACCTTCATCATTCTGCCCAAAGCATAAGTAAGTCTGGAACTTCGATCAAGCAGTCTGGGGCCTCACCTGGGCAAATTTGAAGACGGAGATGCCACAGCCTCTCCGGGCATCCTCTTCCTGGTGCTTAACTATTTTCACAAGGAAAATTGTTATGTCCAGCTGGCGTTCTCCTCACCACAACTTGTGACCCATCACCTCTTATCCTTTTATCCCAATGGAGAACACTCAGGAGACAAGCACACAATGGCTCAGGAATTAAGTACCCAGCAAGTCTTAAGACAAAACTGTTCAACACCACTTTGAATGGAACTAAAGGAGAGTTACTGCAGCCCTACCCTTCCCTCTCCCAGCTCAGCCCATCCCTTCATTGACTCGCCTTTGACCTGCGTCAGGGAGCAGAACCCTGAAAAGTAGCCCTCAATTTACCAAAAAAAAAAAAAAAAAAGAATAGAGCAAGCAGCAGTAAGAATGAACATGAAGAAAGATGGAACATTCTGTATTTGTAGAGAGATTGAGAAAAAAAAAAAAACCAACCATACAACAAGCAGCAGGAAAATAACCCCCTGCATTTCAGAAGATGGAAACGAGGATGAAAAAAAAAAAAAAAAAGCAGCAGCAATTTCTGACAGTGACGTCAATAGATTAAATCATCATAATTATTTTGATGTGGCCAGCTTTCAGCCAGTTATCTCCTCCTCAAACCAGGTCACCAAGGAGCAGGTAGCATGTTGTCAGCACAAGGGAAGGCACAGAAACCGACAACAAATGCAAGGGCAGAATCCCCCAGTCTCCATCTGTATCATCTCTCTGTGTTGTGGAACCACTCCCTGCCTGTTGAGCGCAGACAAGGAGGTGAAAAGAGGGCTGGAACTACAGACTGTAAATTAAATTCTCCGCTACTCTCTGAGGATAAGAACTGTACCCCAAACAACAGAGTGGTACAAAAACCAGATCAATCTGCTGGCCAATCTGATTTGTTATGTGTTACCCAGCCTCCTTGTCAAGACCGTTTTTCAGTGGTAGCCTGGCAGCCTCCCCTCTCCCAGGAAAAAAACAAAACAACAAAAAAAAAAACCAGTAAACAAACATGACCTCTTATCAATAAACACTAAAACCACCAGGATGAGAAATGACCACGCTCAGCTAAAAGTAAGTCTCAATCATCTTTCTTTAACTAAAAGGATTGTGGTTATATCTCATTGCATGAGCAGCCAAAGATCCAAAGTTAAGAAAAGCTGATAAATCTAAAAAGTTTCAGTGCATGAAATAGACTTCTTTTTGGCTTGCTGTACTTGCTTTGAAATATCCACCAGTGAACTCAGCTAGATTTTACTGATGCCAAGGCAGAAAAGTCTAGCAATGGTAAAGGGAGAGTTTTCATAAATCAGAGTTTTCATTTGATTCTTTAACAAAAGCACCTTTATGGAGCAGATGTATTAAACAACAGGGGAGAAAGACAATGCAAAAGAGGAAGCTTTTCTGCTGGCTACAGGCACAGTGCCTTGGCCATCTCAAGCAGCGTGGGTCTCTGCTGCTGCAGTCACTCCCTCTTCCCTCGCGCTGGCAAAACAGCAGAGAAGCCTGAAAAATCGGGGGGGGGGCAGATGAGGGGGTGTGTTTTTACTGCTAGAACACAAAGTGGTGGGAGGAAACGAAGTAAGAACCACAGCACACTGGATTTAAATCACCTTAGCCCCATGAGAGTAGCAGAAGGGAGAACTTAAAAAGGGGGTACTGCTGCCTCAGTTGTCTCTATAGCTCGTGTTCCTCTGCCTTGGTGACATCATCAATCCAGAACTGGCACTATCTGATGCCAATTCAAGAACTCCCTTATTCCAGCGTATCATATACAAGAAACTTCTCCTGTCAGGCTGCAAAAGGTCATCATGTGAGTTTCAGGACTCTCACATCTCCCGTAAAACCCACTGGAAAACTTCTATCCCAATACTTCTTATCTGCATCCTTAGTTTCTGTTGTTTATTAGCGACTGTCAGCATCTAACCAGAGCATAGATTGTTAGACTAACAATTTATTAGCACCGTACAGCATAAAGAAAATAACAGGCTACAGAGCAGAGACTTTACACCTGAAGTACCCATTCTGCAAACAAGCTCAGAAAGATTCCTCTTGCTTCCAGTTGAGTTCAGAGGGACATGCTTTGCCACTTACACCACCTGAAAACTTCCTCTCATTCCCTCCAATCCCTTCTTTAGATTTCTGCACCTTTATTCCTCTCAACTGAAGCCACCACAGCATGGTGTAATAAACACTGTAATAAACATGCTTCCTAAGAGACGTCTCTGCTGCAGGTCACGATCACAACACACCAAGCCTCCAACGGGCAGACTTCAAGCTATTAAAGATGAGACACACAAGAGCATCTTCTGAAGGCAGCACCTACAATATAAACTCACAATTACAAACCCCCAGCGCTACAGCATGCAAGATAAAAACTGGAGCTCTCTCTACCAGCAAAAGAAGACCAAGGCACAGGAACAATGGAGACATCAGAGAAGCTCTCAAAAGCTCCCTGCTGCCCTGACTACAGATCGTAGCTATCAACATCTCATGTTCGTGTTGTTCCATATCTTTGAAAGTATTCCTGGAAATTAATTATAATTACAGAATGCAGTAAAATCAACAAGTTGTCTATTAATATAGGCAACTGATCTTGGGAAACAAGCAGCAAATTCCATTATCTCCCTGTAAGACCGATCTAGAACGCGGTAAGGATTAAGTGCTGTTCAGTGACCTTTCGCAATGCGATTTCTTTGTCTTGAAGTTCACTGTAAATTATTTTAATTTTAGCAGTTACATAAACTAATCTAGTGCAGGGTTTCAAAACAGACAAGCAGTTAATTGCCAAGTCAGTGAACTGAAAGAATAAAGATGGTCTTTTCACTGCGTTTGTAAAGCATCCAACCCAGCAACCACCTCTGCACAGATAACCTAATAATTATTACAGGCCTAAATTCAGCACAATTCAAGATCCTTTGCAAGTCCCTTTACAAATAGGCCACTTCTCAATTCAACAATGACAGCAAAAAATTTCAACCGTAAGAAATTACGACTTTAATTTGGTTTCTAGTAGGAATGTTTGCTGCCCTTTAGTAAGACCCCTAAAGTGGCCAGAGTTCAAAGGTTATTCTTGAAGGATTGGATTAATTCATTAATTACGCTCAATACAGTCTCCTGTGTGGCTTTCCCTTCTGGATAGTTATATCTGCTGCATTCATCCTTTAGCAATGAAAAACACCAAACACATAGAGCAGGTTGATACCTTTATAATAATCAAAAATTAAATATACAGTAAAGCAGAAACCCAGACCTTGTTAGAAATGCCCCTTTATTGCTCTCCCACGTTTCCTGACATCCTGAATATGGCTTTAAAAGAACTCCACCTACATCCTGGTTCAGTTACATTTTGGATTCAAATAATACCCAATACCATGACGGCAAGACTGGATGAGATTCAAAACCCACTGAACCCAGTTCAGTTCACCCAGGTGGTGCCCATGGCTGCATCTAACGCTACCGGCAGGATCTGCTGCTTCTGCAGTTCTTCCACTTGCTCCTGTTCCAAGTAGTACAGACTGGCAGGGAAAACACAGGCTCAACAAGAGCCTACAGTACTAAATATTCCCCCCAAAATAACACTATTTGGTTGGGAAAAACCTTCTCATATTTAGCATTTTGGTTCCAGAGCAGGCTCCCAAGCTTCCACAGCTGTTATCTGTCATGATGCATGCAATCTATCCCGAGATAATGACTCGTCCAAATTCAGGTCTCAGGCCAAAGATGACAGAAGTAGTGCAGATTCCGGCTTATATTCACAACCATCTCTTTTCCCTCCCTTTGAGCATCTTGCCCTCGATCACGCATACGGGATTTCTGAAAAATGCTCTCAGTTCTCCAGTGCTCGAGTCCTGCTGTGACCACTCTTCTACAGGCAAACATCTCTCTAACAGTCCAAAATCAAGTTCAAGATTCCTCCCTTCTATTTCACTCCACTTCCAAGGCATCATCATTCCTGAAATCTGAGTGACCAGACCTAGCTCACAAGAGGAGAAACTACTCTAATTCAAATTGGACCAGGGACCCAAAGTTTCTTAAATTTTTTAAACTGCCTGTATCAAACAACACATAAAGCAGCTGTGCAAGTGCTTCCCCTTCTAGCACATTCTACCACTGTTCTACCTCTGTTAACCAAGAGAATATAACCTCCCCGTGATGTACCTACACCCAACAGCCACGGGACCTCTAACCCTTCCCAAGAGGAGGTCAGAGTACAGCAGAACTGCTAAATACACAGCACCAACCAGCAGATTCAAACAAGGCACTTACCCATCTCTACCTTTACTGACGATCTTCACTTCAAAGTAATAAATGCCGCAGGCTGCAGGTATAGGGTGTGTAGCCCTGACTGAGGCAGCATCTTTGTGATTTTTACCGTGACCTGGGAAAGAAGAGAAGTGTAAGTCCTTGATGGGATCTCAACTCTCTCACATTTTGATCTAAAAACACTACAGTGGGGCCTGTTTCTACATACATCCAGCAATTTAAGGCAAGCTCGTCAGAGAGCCGGCGTACAGCCCTGCACTGCTACCACGAACCAGCCCTACACTAACAGCACTGTAGTTTTTCCTTTTGTTTTCACTGTGAAGTTAATGAGAAGGGCTCACAGCACTGCTTCCCCCCCCAGGCCACCACTGCCACCACGAACCAGCCCTACACTAACAGCACTGTAGTTTTTCCTTTTGTTTTCACTGTGAAGTTAATGAGAAGGGCTCACAGCACTGCTTCCCCCCCCTCCCCACGTACATAGCTTGAAGCCCAACGTACACAAACAGAAGACAAAAATGATTACACAAGAGGAGAATGACATCAGTGTTTACTAACCAGGCAGGAAAAGGAATGATCAGTTCTCCGCGGGGTGGGAAGGGAGAACAGCCTCCAATAGCGAGCAAGAAAAACATCGCTGTGATTCCCCCAAGTCCTAGAAGTCTGCGAGCATCTATTTTGTGTAATCTGGCGGAGCTGAAGCCCCAGCCGGGCGGCGCGTCGAGGCCATCCGACCCCTCGGCCGGGTTTTTAGCAGGATGACAGAGTAAACAGACGATGTAGCTACAGAGACGCGCCCGGGCCGGGTGACACGGCAAAGCGTTGCATAAGGCAGCACCCTGCGCCGGGGGAAGGGCTCCAGACCCCCTCCGCTTCCCCAGCCAAGGAAAAAACCCCGCGCCGGGCTGCGGCCCGGGCACGGCACCCGGGACGAGCAGCCCGACCCCCGCGGCCGGGGCTCGGCGGCCTCCCT